TGGTACCCCTTTGTACCAATATTTATGTGTTTAAATAATAAATAAATAACTCAAGAAATATATTTCTTTTATTATAAACATGTGTAGGTATATATATATATTCATAATCGGCGACGATCAGAAAAAAACCCATTGACCTAGGTTTCTTATTAGCTAGAAATCGTCAGTACAGTTCAGTTGAAGTCTTGTAGTGACTGATATTTGCCATAGGATACAAACCTATGTTACTATTGGGGAACTCGGACAGTGATTAGGCTATTTCGGAACTTAAATATTCGCAATAATTGAATAACAATGCCATGTTATATAACCTTTAATATTGTTACAATTATAATATGTTAGTTATTGATGAGTACAACTAATTCAGCATTATGATATACTATTATGTAGTGAGTTTGTTTCGTTATTCAATCACCTAGACAACCGTTATAATATAAATCTTAACGGTGTTTGAAATTAAAAGGTAATGAGAAATGGCAACTACAGTTTATTAGCAGATAGCGCAGATAACAAACCGATAAGCACATCAAGAGGATTTGAAGTACAGAAATGAATATTTATATGAGAGATCGAATATAGAAGCAAATTTATAGACAAGTAGCATAAGGACACAATAAGGGAAAGTAAAGCTAATAATAGGAACTGAGTAAATATATACATGCGGAGGAGGATGAATTGTCGAGTGATATTTAAGCAATTAACATTTCAGCTATAGTGTATCATATGATCTATTGATCATAACAGTACAAACAATTAAACGAATTGTTACTGTCTCAATAACAATGTCTGTTAAATAAGTTAATAAAAGATCTTAACTAAAATTAACCATAATCAATTGTAGGATAGTTGCTATAATTGTTTCTGTTAGTTGAAATCATGAGTCAATTGAAGCTAGACAACCATGGAAAACCTGGAAGCATTGGACGGCTGCTTCGTCCGGTTGTGGGATTCCTAAGAAGTGCACATCCACGATCCCGCCTCTCGAAATTCGAACCCAGGACACATCAGTCTCGCACGCAACCGCTCAACATCTAGACCATTAAGCCGGCATCCAACGGTGTTTATGTCTAACTCCAAACAATCTACGAAGTTGAGCTACCGTACATCAATTGTTTTCAGTGAGTTCCTATCTCACAACAGACCTGGTTGAACTCCACTGGTCACTGCTTCTCACTATAACTCCAGGAAATACCTCTTGAAGCCAGTCACTAGTGAGCATACGATTATAATCAGAAGGAGGACGAAACGGCAGTCTAGTGCTTCCAGGTTCTCCATGGTGGTCTAGCTTCAATTAACTCATAATGAGGTTACACACAGGGTATTAGGAAATGATGGTAAATCAGTTGATGAGGTCACGAATCTTCATCGACTGAGATGGTTGGGCCACGTGTTATGTATTCCTGAACACTGATTACCACGATGAGCTATACTGACTAGTATTGGGGATGATTGGAAGAGAGTAAGGGGCGGCAAAACCAAAACGTGGCATCAGTCCATAAAGTCACTAACTTTTAGTCTGAGCCATGTTGGTAGATGCAGACTAAATGGTTGGGGTCCGCGTAACTATCGTTACCAATGGTTGCAGACTCTGTGTGACATGGCTCAGAATATATCACAATGGCATAGGTGTATACACTCTTTATCTTCCCTTAAACCACCTTGAGAGTAAAATTGCTTCATATCTGTCTTCCTTCCTATACTATATCCTTATATACAATCATTCTTTTATATATTACCACCACTAAATTAATTACTTCTATGAATCCGGTGTTCATCTTGTTGTGCTAACAAGGTATAGCAACTTGAACCGATGCATATATATGCCTGGTCCTACGTTGTAGCTGACTGACTGAACTCATGATTTCAACCATAAAATTACTAAAATATCCACAACCCCTACCCTTCTGTTCCTGTTAGATCACTGAAGACACTCGATAGAAAGCATTAGATCCAGGTATTATACATAGTCACTTATAAATGTCATTTTATAATAACTTTTTCACAAAAAAGTTTACATTTGAAAAAAAATTAAAACTACAGTTACCAAGTGAATTTGAAAAAAAAATCCAAAACTGTTCAGTCAATCAAACTGCTTATCAACAAAATTATCAACAAAAATATTTAAAAAAATTATCAATTTAAAATCAACACAGGTAATAAATCGATTCTTTTTTTTCACTTGAACATTTTTACATTATTTTGTTTTTAATCAAGAAGGGGTTTTGTGGAGATTTCAGTATTTTTCAAAGTTGCAATCATGAGTCAATTGAAGTTAGACCACCATGGAAAACCTGGATAGCCGTTTCGTCCTATTGTGGGACTCATCAGAAGTGTACATCTACGATCCCGCCCCGAGAGATTCGAACCCAGAATGTATCAGTTTTGCACACGAACGCTTAAGCTCTAAAACGAATGATAATAATCATATGCTCACTAGTAGCTAGCTTCAAGAGATATTTCCTGGAGTTCTAGTGAGAAGCAGTAACTGGGTCTGTCGTGAGATAGTAACTCACTAAAGACAATGGTGCAATTTTGTGAATTGGTTGAAGTTAGATATTAGCATCATTGCATGCCAACTCAATGGTCTAGAGATTAGGCGCTCGCGTTCGAGACTGATGTGTTCTGGGTTCGAATCTCGAGAGGCGGGATCGTGGATGTGCACTGCTGAGGAGTCTCATAGTAGGACGAAGCCGCTGTCTAGTGCTCCCAAGTTTTCCATAGTGATCTAGCTTCAATTGACTCATGATTTCAACTACAAATTTACTAAAATTCTCCACAAAATATGTAAATCCGTTGTATACAATAAATTGAATGATTTTAAGTGCTTGGAGTTAGCCAGTTGAGACTCCTACTTAATTTAAAGTTCGCGCTAACTAACATTTATCAGTAAGGTGAGCTTTCGATCTTGATGAAACTGATGTGACCTGTAGGATTCGAACCTACTTCACCCAGAATTTCGAGTCTGAATTATTACTTATCAACTATTCAGGCCATGACTGATCTCCTGTGAGACTGATTTGTTTACAGTTGATAGATAACTGAATAATAACCATTTTTATGTAATGAGTGACGCTGGCTCTAATTTATTTGGGAGAAGCGGTTCCGTCAAGATTACAGATAGTGCTTACTAACCAGTGCCAAATAGTACGGAGTCTAGGTGAGACAGGATTTCCTGTCGATTACCTCTAATCACCTGACATAACAAAATACAGGACGTGATGTCAAATCTCCGAGACTGCTACCGACAAACCAATTTGTTTAATAGAATTCGATCAGCAGCACCAAGGAACTAAACAAATATGGCATTAATCACTACTTGGGAATTAGTCTATTGAATTTGCTTGAGAGGAAAAAAATAAACTTTTTCGGGATAGATACAGAAAAATTAGTTTCAGTCTCTTATAAAATGGTAACTAATACATAAGATATAAGCCTTAACGTATGTTGGAATTTGATTGTGACACCATGGATTTTCCATGAATAGAAAGTGGTGATAAGTTAAACATATGAGTAATCCTAATCAGCTAGCGGTTTAAAGACTTGGCATTTTTAACGCGTTTTATTTATTGCAAAACTACTCAATATTCCGCTATATTAGCATTTATTATACTGCTCATAAAGAAACTGATATTTATTATTTGAAGTCGTTATATTATAGTTGTGTTTTCAGTGTGTAGTCGCGTTTATAAGCTTATAGCAACTCAGATACAATTGAGTTTGTTTGCATCTAATTCAGTTAAGCCCTTTTGTTAACTTATTTAATGGACAGTCATTCATACAATAACAGCCCATCTATACCATTGTACTTTTATTATATACGCTTGAACATTGCTTACTGCCTACGCATATATTCATTCCGCTAGCCTTATTATTAATCGCTTATTTGATCCGATGATTCATGCTTTTCCGCTTATATATATATGTACATCTTAATCCTGTTTACTGCTCTACTGCTCTTGCCCTGCTTGCTCTCTGCTCTGCTCTGTATTACGCTACACCGTACTGTATATGCTTACTCATTCATCCGGCTCTATGGCACTGCTTTTTCATGCTTGTTTGACGTACCTGTAATATTGGATAACTGTGTGTGGTTCAGCAATAAACACGATCAACCCGTCGTATTCGTCTTCTGATTTATACATCGTTAGGACGTTGTCGAGTAACGGTTATCAAGACGAACAATATACGAAGCTTAGGGATAGTACCGAATATCGACCACCACAAGCTAAAGTCTAGGGAGTGGAGGTCGAAGGTGTTGTCGAAATCTAACTATGAGATCGGTACCAGTTTCTATGGCTCACATACACTGTACTTAGATCAAAGACAAACGCTCTCTATGAAACAATCAAAATTTACTCTGTACATTTGTAGTATTCTGTTTTCTATTGGATAGATGCTCAACAATAGATATAGAATTCGTTTTATCAACTAATCAAGATTTAATTAAGCTACCAATCTAATCCATCTGAGTACAAACAATACCTATTATTAGTATTTACAGCTGACAAAACAGGAGAAATTCACAACCTATTCATCACAGTAGTGCAACTATAAAAATGATGAAAAGTTGTATTTATTTATTATTATTATTTAGGCACATAAACATTGGTACAAAGGGGTACCAGATACATATGCGCCACACAAATCTCATTTGATTTGTGTGAAGGCTGTGATACTGTTCGGGTGCCCAGACCGAAGTAGGTGGTTTTATTAGGGTGCCACACCCGGAGCCTTCGACCTAATGGTCTGGTCCACAACTTCTGGAGATAGAGTCCCATGGTAGCCGGTGACCATCGATTGATTCATACGCCGTTTGTTCCATCAAGATACTGGGGCCCATGTGCACCACTGGTTTAAAATCAGGGTTTTCCAACTCCCCTATGTGGACTCGCCGTGTCCACCGGTCTGATTAAAGCGCCGGACATTCGCTTCTCGTCCTCTCAATTTCGTAAACAATAGTAATGCCACAAGAAGGCAGTGAGTAGGACTTCACTGGCAGAGGCTATATACACGTGGCCATGTGAAAGTATTTACAGAGGGAGAGCGGACTCTCCCCGCTTTCCGCCGTACCAGGGCATCTGGGGGTAGTATATTATGTTCACCAATAATCAGCTCAATAGTTCAGGGGGACACGATCGACAAGATGTCTAAATTTCTTTTTTTTTCTTCCCGACTACCAATTTTAACGAAAAACAAATACAAAGACAAATTAATCAATCAATCGAATTGTTTCTTTTTTTCTAACAAAAAAAACAAACAAAACAAACAAACTGAAAATAAAAAGTTGAGAAACCCAAAAAGGATACAATTAAAATCACTACAAAGAGATAATTCTGTGAATGAAGAATACTGTTTTAATCATTTTGTTTATATTCTTCATTCATTGAGCAGATTCAATAATAATGAAATAATAATAATAATCATTAATGGATGAAGGGGGGAGTTAATCTCTCAACTACACACGCACTCACATACATAGAAACACAAATAAGGAGAAAGAGATGATTATTTGATTGGAAACAATATATAGTGGTCCTTATTATATTAGCTGAAGTTCATAGTAGAGGATTTACATAGCAACTTTTTTTTTATAATGGTAATACACACAAGTATTATCTTAGTCTGTATGCATGTATATGTTAGAATGATCATAAAGATGACTGTTAAGAGAAAAAATCATGTGACCATAGGATACAATTGAGAAGAGTAATAATGAAGTGTACAAATTCTTTTAAAATTAAAGATAATGTTCAATGAACAGTACAAGATATGATAGAAGACAGAAAGAAACCTCTCCCATTCTCAGCTCAAAATTATCTGAAGATGAACTGTTTGAAAATGAGAAAAGAGAGAGAGGGAGGGAGGAGGAAGTGTACTACTACATTTTAACTACTACTACATTTCTATTAAAATGAACTAATCAATTCATGATGGATTGTTTTCTTCTTAAATTCTATCCATTTTGATTTCTTTTTTTAATAATGAGAATTTCAAAAATTTGATAAACAAAAAACTAAGTTAGAAAACACACAAATCTAAGTAAACATGCACATGTGAAAACATGCAAAATGAATGGTTGAATGGAAAAAAAAAGAAGAAGAAGAAGAACAAGAACTAGTTTACTGTCTTTAATTTCTATTGTAAAGATCTAAGATGCAAATTTTTAAAAAATTTTTTTGGAATGTTGTTTGGTCTTTTTTTTACGTAATGGTCGTTTATATTTGGTAATACTACTGCCACTATTATTACTAGTACTGCTACTATTACTACTGATATACGATAATTAGTAGTTAATAACTCATGAGTAATGATAGTACTAATGATAATAACAGTTCAATGAATAGGGAAAAAAAACTGTTATTGAAATGATATTTGTTGTAACTGTCATCATAGAATTTCGTAAGGAAACGTTTCTCAACAATATTTTGTTCATTGATGTGTTTGTAGATCAACAGAGGAAACATTAAGTTTAATGATTGAATCTTAAGAATAAACAATGATGGACATAATGTGATGAGAGAGATGTATTATAGAGGAAAGAATAAATTAGCAACGATCGGATGAACCCTTTTTTTACCGTTGTGATCATAATAAAAAAGGGAGAAAAAGACAATGAACCAGAAGAAAATATGGTTTTATATAACAGTACTAATGATAATAATAATCACAGGTCTCATTGTAAAACAACATTTATCCACATGGGAAAAATAATTTGAAAAAAAAAAAAACAAACCAATATGGATAGATTACTTTTGAGGAAGAGATCTTCAGTAAAACTCGACATACGGATGTACGTGCAACCACCAATCCACCCACACACTCACAAACGTGAGTATAGAAAAATTGAAAAACACAGTAATACAGTACAGTAAATCTGCACTCTGAACAATGTTGGGTTAAAGATGAATTTTAATGATGATGACACTGACAAGAAACTGTTGGATCTTTTTGAATATCATCTGTATACTTAAAGTTGAGATAGAATGTTTATTTATGAAATATAGAGGGAAAAAAAAACACAAACATAACTTCTCTATTCAATCAGATAGCCAACATTATGAATGAAATCCCATAACAACTACTCCCTTGTAAACAAGTTAAAAATGATTAGTTATTATGATCTATATCTAATAATAAGTAAGATAGAAACAATTATGAAATGAAGAAAAATCAAAGAGAAAAACAGAAGAAAAAGAAAAAAAAATCATTAAATCCAATAACAGATACTTTAAGTATAACAAAATAAGGATTAAAGAATATGGGCACGTACGTTCCCATTGAAGCATATAGACATGTAGTCAAAATAATTTGCACGTGTGTGAGGGTGTGTGTGTAATATTGAGTGATGGAAGCAGATATTTCTCCAGGTCTTTTTACACTATAATAAGAATATTCATTCATTCACCCATACATACATACATAGATATAAAAAATACGTGAAAAATATGGTACTGTTTATAGACTTTTGATCAAATGTAATTCTTCTTATATTAATCACTATAGCAATAACGATAGGATATAGATGTATGGTATCCGTTGTTGTCAGGTTAACTGTTACTATGATCATTATATCAATAATAGATATATACATATATATATATATATAGTTATGTGTATATAATTGAGTATTTGAAAGTTTCATTTCTATTTCAATTCCTTTTTTATAGACAAATGAGAAAGGTGTTTGGTTTTACAGTGAATCAATAAGAAGCAAACGGTTTAGATGTTTCTTTAAAAAAAAGAGTATAGAAAAAGGATTATTTCGATTTTTTCTTTTTACCATCACGTGACCGTAGTGATTTCATCATCATTTTGAATTCTAAAATGAAAGAATAGATAAGAAAATAAGTAAGAGTAATGATTTAAGATAGTATTGTAGTGTGGTCTACTTATATCCATATAAGTAGTATATATTTTGGCGGAGAATCGATAAGGAACGAATAGGAATGAAGCGCAATCGGTATGAAAATGCATGAAAAATGAAATCACAAAAGATGAACTGATATTTGCAGAAGGAACAGTTAAGATTGAGATAATTGATTGTTATTTTGCTAATTAACTGTTAACTGTATGGTTATCAGAATTTAGTGAGTTGGTCTATGCATTCAATTGCCCCCAGTCGTGCTCTGTTCACTACAGTATGATATCATGATTATTTGAGGCAGTCAAGTTTATGAGCAGACACTGGAGAACCACTGAAATATGTAGAGTATATTACAAGACAGTTAAGATTACTTAGTCTGGGATTCAGAGATGCATACACCTGTAATCCAATATGAGAGTGTAATCCGTTCAGTTGCGGCAAGAACAGTACTATTTATACAGGTGACAGATAATTCACGTTTTCTAACTTCAGTCAATTTATAGTAAGGTTTTGTGGAGTCAATAGAATTGTCGTAACTTTTAAATTCTGAACTGATTTTATAAAAACTACCATTAAAAACCTGTAAGCACTGGGTAGGTGCTTCGTTCTAATGTGAGACAATTATCCACCACAGATAATGAAAGATGATCACACAATATATTGAATCGGCTAAAGTTAGATATTAACATCTTCTCGGTACCAGCTCAGTGATCTAGAAGTTAAGCGTTCATCTAAGAGACCGAATATCTTAGGTTTGATTTACGGATGCCGAGTCGTGAACGCGCACTATATATTTACCTGGCTATTAATCTTGTCTTTTGATATAAATTCAAATGAAGGCTTACGTTAATGATTCGATCTAGTAATGAGCACACAACAAAACTGGTTCACAATCATATCATTTCTTTTCATCCATCGATCAGGATTATTTTTAACGATCGAAAGTTTGTTTATCAAATCCGTAAAATTCTACTTTAGAACAGTGATGATGAGGTGAAAAGCAACTGTAAACAACATATCAATCGTATAGAATGGAATAGAACTGTTCATTATTCATTCGCTTAATGAAATCATGATCTCAATCAAAAATATAATAATCTCCACAACCCTATACTCACTAGTGACTAGCTTCGTTAGGGAATTGCGGGAGTTCTAGTGAGAAGCCGTGACCAGTGGAGCTAACCCATGTCAGATAGAGACAAGTGTCTACCTCAGAACAATGTAAGATAGTCGCGCGATTTCGTGGATTGGTTGAGACTTGACATTACCACAGTTGGATACCGGCTAAGTGGTCTAAGAGTTAGGCGTCCGCGCACGAGACCGAAGGCCCTGGGTTCGAATCCTGAGAGTGGGATCGTGTATGAGCACTCCTGAGGAGCCCCACAATGAGACGAAACGGACATCCAGTGCTTCCAGGTTCTCAATAGTAGCCTAACATCAATCGGTTCATGATCTCAATCAAAAACATAATAATCTCCACAACCCCACACTGTGAATTTATTGAATTACTTTTACATGAATTGAAATCTGAGCACCATTAACTAATAATTATCATCTCAGAATCATATTCAATTCACATGGAATGCATTACAGATTAAAATATCAGTTCATGCAACAGTTGGAATCAGAAATACAATTTAGTATGTCAGGAAATTTCAAGCTGATTCAAATCCAGTCTTAGAATCTCAATCGAAATTCCTTGGAAATCATTCAGGTTGATTGTGTCATTTTATTAAATGAGAAAAAAAACTTTTTTACTGAGTAGTTAGCAATCTTATTGTCTAATATCAGAATAATTAGGGGGAATATATCAAAAAATCGATCTCGTGAGTAACCCTTATCACTCGGCTACATTGTATCACTAAATCATTAACCATTGATTGATATTCTAATAATTCATTTCATGAATTGAAAATTCTTATTATTGGGTGTTTTGTAGAGGTAATTGATATCCATAGTTTACATCACGAACTGATCTTAACTAAATAGAGAACCACTGAAAACAAGGAAGGATTGGACAAGATCTATTTAAATGAAGGAATGAATCAATTTATCTATGTACGACTGCTACCCGATTATCAAAGAGGAACCTATGGAAAAAATGATTTTACACACACACACACACACACAAAACAACTAAAGCGATTGTCATCATCATCATCATCACCATCATTATGAGAAAAAACAAATCCAAATTTATTAATTTACCTCTAAAATCAATTGATCCATTTTTATCTAAATCGGCTTCTTTAATCATTTGACGTACTTCATCATCAGTGACTGCTTCACCCAAAAAATGCATTGTTTGTTTTATTTCACTAAAATCAATGACTGAATCACCATTTTGATCAAATACCTAAGAGAAAAATGATAAATGCATATACCGACAATAATAATAATAGTTATTTTTTTAAAAAAATGGATATATAACTAGTTTTCACATTTAGTTGAATGGATATTTTATTAAAACACATAAATATTGGTACAAAGAGACACCAGATACATATGCGCCACACAAATCAAATGAGATTTGTGTGAGGGCTGTGATACTACACAGGTGCCCAGACCGAAGTAGGCGGTTTTATTAGGGATCCACACCCGGAGCCTTTGACCTAGAGATCTGATCCACAAGGCAGTGGAGCATCGTGAGGAGATGCATTCTAATGGTAGCCGGTGAACAACGATTCATTCATACGCCATTTGTTCCCTCAGGATACTGGAGCCCATATGCACCATTGGTTGGGAGTGTTGGTTTTCCAACTCCTCTAGGTGGAACTTCTACATCCACCAACCTGGTTAAATCGCTGGACATTCGCTTTCTGTCCTCTCATTTTCGTAAACAACAGTAATGCCACGACAAGGTAGTGAGTAGGACTTCCTGACAGTGACTGCATACGCGTGGTCATGTGAGAGCATTTGGAGAGGGAGAGTTGACTTTCCCTTCCCTCGGCTGTACCAGGTCATTTTGGGGTAAGCTGCCTGCTGGGAGCGAGGTTCGCGTCCACGAGCGGATACACCCTAAGCGATCTCAAGTCCACCGCCCTAACCACTCGGTCGCAGTACATGTCGAACAATCTGATCACACGCACACTTGTTAAGAACATTTATACAGGAGGAAATGAAAGGTCAACTAGATAAACCAAGACAATAAAGAAAATAATGTAAAGAAAAACAATGTGGAAGTTCATCACGCTGAATAATAAACTAATATTATCAGGGTAGGTATAAGGTGAGAAAAAACTGTCTAGTTCACCTTTTAGTTTTTCCATATTTAAATTTCTTTAACAAGTACATGTGTGACCAGATTGTTCGAAACGTGTTGGGCTGACATGGTTTTGATAATCTTCGTCTTATTACACAATCCAAAGTAACATCTGATATTCATGTACATACTTGTAGACGTACATACACGCATCCACATATAAAAACAGTTCTATGCACATTCAATGAATGGGATAAATAACCCCATCTCATCATCCATCCCCAAGTCTATTTTATTCCTATTCTGATCATAAAAAGATAATAAAATGCTGATTATCATAGTCAAATATTGTGGGGGTGAGATCATAAAGGAGGCGCATTTTCATTGTTTGTACTTTTTCTTTATCCCTCTCCGCTCTTTACTGTTCTCGTCGGTCATTTTAATTAATCATTGTCTAGTACAAGTAAGTGTGGCGTAGAATTAATCCAACTGTATAGAATCTAGTTGATCTTAAGCGCAAATAAAACATTAGAGTGAAATGATTTTAGAATGACACGTAATACATAATGTGCGCTTGTGAAGCATTATACTATTTAGGACTCATTTAACTGAATGTAACTTCCGCATCTTAGTGTTGATATCCATGTCAGAACTGAAACTCAATGAATTTCTCTTCAATCCAAAATCTTTCTAATAGTAATCTAAATATAGTACTTTTCGAACAAGTTAAGAGTTATTTGGACTAAGTAGTTCAGTGGATAATACTTTGGTATTTGAAAAGAAAAAGTACTGGCTTCGGATCCCCCTGTAAGAACATCAAAACTAGGATATATTTACATCTGACTAATAAGTTCCAAATTGAACAAAACGCATGTCCTGGATTCCTAAATTCTTACTTCACATTTTTTATTGATACATGTTAGATCATGTACTTGTGGTAAAAATACTCAGTATATGATTTTGTGGGGAATATAGAATTTCCACAGACTTAAAATCATGAACTGATCTTGAATAGATCACCATTGAAAACCTGAAGGCATTGGATGATCGTTTCGTCCTTGCATGCGACTTAGTAGTGCACATACACGACCTAGTATCCAGGAATTCAACCATGCCATATGAATCAGTTATTCATCGCAAGTAATAGAAGATGGTCATGCAATATCTTGAATTGACTGAAGTTTCGTATTAACATCCTCTGAGTGCCAGTTCAGTGATCTAGGGGTTCGTACGCGAGACCGAAGGTTCTGGGTTCGATTCCCGGATACAGTATCGAGGATACGCACTTATGGGTCCCATACTAGGAATAGACAGTCATTCAGGGCTGCCAGGATTTCATTGGTGATCCAACTAAGATCACTTTATGATTTAAAATCCATAAACATGTAAGTCAATTCGGTGTAAAAGAGATATTACATCATAGTAAACATTTACTTACATTAAAGGCTTCACGAAGTTCATCATCAGAAGATTTTGGTCGTTGATTTTGAGAATACCTGCGCATCATTCTTAAGAACTCGTCAAATTCAACCGTACCGTTCCCTACAAAATTGCATTAATAATAATAATAATAATAATAATAATAATAATAATAATAATAATGTGATAAATGATGATCCGAAACGCTAAATAAATGTATATTCAACAGTTGTCAAATTTACAGAACGGTATGGTAGCTATATGAGCAATTATTTCCGGTTTCATACTTTTCAGGTAGACTACAATAAATTTTCGTATTCATAACATGAGAGCTAATAAATTGAGTTAAGTGAATAGAACAAAACAAGGCATGAGTATTATATTTGCAAATGAACCGTTAAAATCATCAGCTATCTCATGATTTAAATACACACAATCACGATGTTCATAGTGGATGTATCATTGAGATTATGAACCAATCTAAGTTAGACAAACATTAAAAACTTGAAAGCAATAGACAATGGTTTCGTTCTGGTGTGGGACTTTTCATCAGTGCACATTCACGACCCCGTACGCGGGAATAGAACCCAGGACTTTCAGTCACGTGTGCGAACGCATAATCTCTAGACTATTGACCTGGCGTTCGACAGTGTTAATGTCCAACTTCAACCAATCCACGATATTGCGCGGCCATCTTTCACTGTCTTCAGCGGGTAACTACCTCACACCTAGTACGGTTGAACTCCATTGGTCACGGCATCTCACTAGAACTCCGAGAATTACTTCTGGAAGCTAGTCACTGATGAGCATATGTCTAGTCCTTATAAGTGCTGATTGGATTCTATCGGTCAAGTTAAAGTGCATTTACTAAATAACTATACAAACATGATATTAGTCACAGCGCAACCGTAAATACTTCACCCCTAATAGGATTTAGTCACATTAGTGGCAACGTCTCAGATTGTGAAGCCGGATGATGGTAGCTCAGATCTTCAAAGAGCATAAGTTCCCTCAAGATTATAGACATCCCCTAATGACTAGTGTCAACTACCACGAAACCTGATTGAGGCAGAGTTTCCTATTTGCTACTTCCAACCACCTAAATTCATAAATATATTGTGATTGAAAGAAATACTGTACGGCTTTTATTATTTTCACCTATTAACCATACTTTTAATAATTCATTTAAGCATGCTAAATTCAATCAATCATAATCAATGTAAAACTTGCAACATTTGTGCACTTCTCAACGTTATCACTACTTCACTAACACAACGAGTTGATACAAACAAGGTAAATAGTCAAACGAATTAAAATTATTCAGTAAGAAAGGTAATAAAGACTAAATTTCGAGAATACAGAATGAAAACGTATGTATGAAAGAATACTAGAAGTGAAGATCTAGAGTAAGACAACGGGTGAATACATTTGCGTCATTGTGACTGATTCTGAGATATCTCATTCAAAGTCTTTAACCACTGACAGTTGTTATTGCTCATAAAGCAACCACATAGTGTGTATTTACTAACACAAGGCTCATACCGACTGTTGGTGGTTCCATCGACTGATATCATGTTTCGGTTGTTATTTTTTGTTAGCTTTACCCCAACATATTTTTTTAAGCTAGAGAACATAAAGTACACTAAACACTGTAGTAATGATTATGTTATTTTATTTATTTAAACACATAAATGTTGGTGCAAGGGGGCACCAGATATATATGCGCCACACAAATCTCATTTGATTTGTGTCAGGGCGGTTGTGATAATGCCCAATTGCCCAAACTGAAGCAGGGATGATTATGTTGCTATACGTTATTTCATATTTATTACAGTTAAGAGAATATTAGTATTACAATGTTGAGAAGAACACAACAGCAGTTTTTTCCTTTCATATGATGTTAACCTTATAATAGAGTGGAACATGTAACAAACATCATTTTTTCCATTGTCTATATTATCCTTAGGATATATGGTGTTATTCAATTAGGTACAGGATAATATAGAACTCTATGTTACCAGTATAAGTATGTCCTCCTCCATCCACTTTGAATTTTAACTTGTTGCATTGACTAAAAGAAGTATACTTTGGTAATTGAATCTTATCTGATTTAATTATTTCATCGAAAACTTTTTTTTAAGATAAACAGTCAATCAAATTATGTATGGAACTTAATAGAATTTTCTTAATTACTACTATTTGCTGATTTTATTTAGTCTAATCTGATTTGTAAATTTTAGATAAATATGTGTATCGGTTGAATTTGACATACTGTGGTATGAGCTACTTATGTCTATTGATATAAGTAGTATGTAACACTAATCAGAAAAGGAATGCCTGTCAAAAGAAGGTTGTGAAGATTGAACTGAAGAAAACAGAAAAAGAAACATAAGGGAATTGAGAATTGGAAGATTCATAAAGGATGTAAAAGACAATTGATGGAAGATAGGCAAATGAGGTATTCAATGTATAGCTTTCATACTTTATAAAGACATTCTGCAATTTTGTAATTAACAATAAATTGGATTTCAACACCATGCCTTCGTTCACTACAATTCGACACAATAGCTCAACGGATAAAACTATCAAGACTGATTCCAAGATACTATAAATAGTAACAATATCGGTGGTAGCACAAATGTTTAAGAATAAACAATAAGACACAAGAGGAAAGAATCAATTCGTGAAATAGAAAAGTATGAAATAACTTTAAAACTCATGATCTCAAAGAAGGCAAAGAGTGGAACCATTTTTTGTCAATGTGAATGGTTCTTACCCATGGTTCCTTACTGATTGGCTACAATATTCCACTTTTCTAAACAAAGTACACACATGGTAAGCAGAGATGGATGTTTAGATTGTAAGAAAACACAATAGAAACAGGAAAGATCTGGTGATGATGACGATGTTATGGATGTACGCGTTTTATACAGAAACGAAATAGCTATCTACTGATTTGGTTCTAGATTTCTAATGGTTGTTTAAGTGAAATCTCAGTACAACAGATCTGTTGAAGGCTAAATTTATTATTTTTCATTATTATCAGTGTATAGAAGATCAATTTCTCCTGAAATATAATTAGCATTGTTGAAGAAGTCAAAGATCAGGTAGAAATGAGAACTGGAAAGCAGAAATTCAGTGTTTTCTCATAAATTTGGATAATGACTAGCGGTACAATCTAAGAAACATATTTCGTCACGTTTATAGCTCGTCTTCAATTTAAAAAAATACCTACCACATTCCAGTGTTGGTGACCATATTCAAACTTAAACTCAGTATACATCGCTGCGGAATTCAACTTGTTATCCACAGAGCTGCTGAATTCAGATAGTCACCAACGTGTAAAACGGTTATGAATTTTATTGGTAAACAATTGTATTTCTCAGTTGTTTATATTTAGAATTGTAACTAAGTACATGAGTGGAATAGCCCAAAAGTGTTATTTAATTATGAATCATGGTAAATATGCCAAAAGAGATTGTAATCCTTAATATCAGCAATGGAAAGATATAAGCTTTTACAAATGGAAATTAATTATTTGTTTGTTTGTTTATTTTTCCAAAGTGAATCTTCTTTATCAAAGTTTAATAACATAAATTAAATGAAGATGTATGTTTAGTTGAAAACCAAAGCAGAAAGATTGAAATCTGAAAAGATGACCAGAAACAAATATAAATACATACGGAAATGAAAATGGACAACTACACACACACACACGGTGGGGAAAAGAGAAATGTAAAATTATTCCAATGTTCAATAGAAACTTTAAAAAGGGGGGAGGCTGAGGTACAAAAAAAGTGAAATTACAACAAATAAAACCAACCACTGTAAAAAATAAACAAGTAAATCTGAAAAGAAAACTTAAATGATATCAAGATGAATTTCAATTTTTTTTCCCAAAAATTTAAATGAAGAATAATGGGATGTTTTTTATGAAAAAAAAGAGATAAATAAATGAAAGCTTGAGTCAATCGAAGCTACACTACCATGGGAAACCTGGAAGCACTGGACGGTCGTTTCGTCCTATTATGGGACTCCTCAGTGGCAGTGCGCATCCACGACCTCGCCTCGCGAGATTAGAAACGGCCGTACAGTGCTTTCAGGCTTTTCCTGGTGGTCTAGCTTTTAATTGACTCACAGTTTCAACTATGAAAATACTAAATCTCCACAAAAAACCTCTTCAGATAAATAAATGTTTCTGTGTTATTCTTGAACGATATAGGTAATGGAAAAGATATGCTAAACATTTCTTCAAAGTGTTTATTGAACAGTATTGTTATTTATTTGTTTATTTTGTATTTTAACTTTTATTCAGGTCTTTTGTAACCAGGTTTCATACTTTTTTTAGTTTCCTTTGTTAGGACTTACATATTTTTTTCACGTAATTTTGTTCTCTGAGCTGGATGGTTTGGTCGTGAAGCTTTCATCGTTATTTTGAACAATATCATCAGAGCAAACTTCGGGTAGAAGTGAAGTGTTCGAATTTCTTCACATGTAGTTCACAGCTTGTCCTGTACACCTCGGTGTTGATTGGTTCTTATTGACCTTAAATCTGTCATTGTTTACTTCTTTGTTTTGGTTGTATCTCCCATTGGTTTGATTTTTGTTCCTATGTTTGTGCATAATTATGCAGATTTAAGGTCAATAAGAACCAATCAATATCAAAGTGTAAAGGACAAGTTGTGAACTACATGTGGAGAAATTCACTTCTACCCGAAGTTTGCTCTGATGATATTGTTCAAAATAATGATAAAAGCTTCACGACCAAACCATCCAGCTCAAGGAACAAAACTCCACCAAAATCATCAACCTGAGCTACAAATCCCCACTAATAACCATTCTACCCACTTTTTTTTTACAACTATTCAGTTAATATGTTAACTTGTAATAATAATCATCTGGTGTTTGTAACAAAAATAAAACTCATGACGGAATCGTGAATGAAACGATTAAATAAAAGAACTTAACAAATAGTTTGGGCACTTGGGCAGTATCACAGCCGCCCTCACACAAATCAAATGAGATTTGTGCGGCGCATATATATCTGGTGCCCCCTTGTACGAATATTTATGTGTTTTAATAAATAAAGATAAACAGTACACGACATGAGATAGATATTGTGT